TCAATCCGATCTCACGTGTTGTTAATCGCCGGTTCACATCAACTAATGCCTTTATCGCGTCTTTATCAGCTTCAACCGGCCTTCCCGAACGTGGTGCATCTTCGACATCAAAATTGTCGGATCGAAATTTAGCGAACCAGTTCTGGCACTGGCGTACTGTCAACACACCTTCTCCATACACATCAGTCAATTTCAACCAAAAACTACTGCGTACAATTAATTGGAATTTTTCACATACAAGCCTTGCTATATGAGCTCTCAAAGCATACAAAAATTATACGGCCTAAATGTGAAGTTGGGTGCAAAAGAATACAATTAAATCCTCTGTCGGGGAAAAACGAAATGACTTTCCGAACAACCCGATAGATACAGTTGATCCTACGTCTTGTTTTTGATAAAAACCTCGTGAGCTCAGGCAACCAAATCTCTTCGTAACCCTAAGTTCCAAGTTTTTCTATGGTTTCCATGGAATGTATGGATCATATAATATAAGTAGGTAGATACAGTTGATCCTACGTCTTGTCTTTAAAAAAACTTCGTGAGCTCAGGCAAGCAAATCTCTTCGTAACCCTAAGGAAGTTGAAGAGGGTTTTCTATCCAGAGGAGTCTCATGATTTACAGTATCGAAATCATTACTCTAGAGGAATTACCTCGCCTACGAAATTCGTGTGAAGTAATGAATTAGGGTTTGTAGATCTGCCGTGAACAAAACCATAAATTATATCTGCAATTACAATAATTAGTAATAGTGCGTAAAAAACATTTCTTTCTGTAATTACTTAATTACCTCATTAAGTTGTATACAAATTTACTTTGTTATATTTATACATCAATATTACATAGATAAGTACAAGTTAATTCCTCTAAACTCTAAACCGTTCATTATTTACTTTGTACTTCAATATTGCCATTAGGTGTCAACAAGTGAATACTAAAATTTCTAGTGTTTTTTTAAGGCGTTTTGTCTGCTTCAAAGTGACGCTGATGAGTTGTTATGATTGAAAGTATTTTAAATTAAATTTTTCTACTAATTTTATTTTAGGATTAGAGAGTACGAATGGTTGACGCATTGTTAGTTTTATATTAGACAGAATTTCGTTACAGTATTTTTATCCTACTTAACAATTTATCACGTCTAATTTGAATGAATTAATTACATAGTTGGGAATCTTATTTTTGTGTTGTTAATGATAGGAGGCACTTTCAGGGTCATGGTAGTCTTATCTCCTTTTTGTGACTGTAACAAGCTGTTGCCATAGCTTTTTCTTTTTCATTAATTATTACTGTGCAGTACAGCAATTTCGTGTAACAATCATTGTCCATTTTACGATAGTATTGTATGAACGAAAACGCTTAATGAAAGAGAAAACTCCTCAGAACGCGTTGTGATCACTGAAAACATCCACATCACGAAAACGCTTATTGAGCGAGAAAACCAGTTACACTTGAAAAACATACACTTCACAAGAATAGTAATTGGGCGAGAGAATAGCTCAGAATGCGTTATGATCATTTAAAAACATCCACGTCACGAAAACGCTCATTGAGCGAGAAAACTACTGAGAGCGCGTAGTCATAATTGAAAAACATCCACATCACAAAAACGCTTATTGAGCGAGAAAACTGCAGGGAATACGCCGTAATCAGGGAATCGCTCATTGAGCGAGAAAAGCAGTTATCACTATAAAACACCCACTTGACGAGAATGCTCAATGGGCGAGAAAACAGCTCAGAACGCGTTGTGATCATTTACAAACATCCACGTCACGAAAACACTCATTGAGCGAGGAAACTATTCGCAGCGCGTAGTCATTACTGAAAAACAGTCACTTCACGAGAATGTTCATTGGGCGAGAGAACAGCTCAGAATGCGTTATGATCATTTAAAAACATCCATGTCACGAAAACGCTAATTGAGCGAGGAAACTACTAAAAGAGCGTAGTCATCTTTGAAAAACATCACTTCACGAGAGTGCTCATTGGGCGAGAAAACATCTCAGGACGCGTTGTAATCATTGAAAAACATCTACATCACGAAATTCATATTATGGTCCTTATAAAGATGCTCGTGGCACGTTGTAGCAAACAAAAAAAAACATAATACGGCGTACCTACAGTGATTTGTGATGAATTTGTTCATTTGCCTTAAAGTAATAAAGTTATTAAAATGTCCTTATTGCTCTTTACGCTGTTAAAATTGAAAACCACTGTGCATATTTATTATTATAAAATGTAAAATGTCAACGTAGGACATCAAAAACTGAAGAACTGTACCAGTTTTAAATACTTTGATGTCACAATATCGAACATAAGGAAAAGCAATGAAGATATAAAAAATAAGATTGGACAAGACGACGAACAATACGACAGTTCAACCCCAATCTTTAGAATAAAAAAATTACGAATGAGACGAAGACAACAATTTACAGGAGCATCGTTGAGAGCATCCCCACACATGGGTCTGAGATATGGAAACTGGCCGAAAGTAGCAAACAGAAATTGTTTTCCCTAGAAATGGACTAGTCGAAGAAGTTGGTGAATCTCAGAGCTGATCATCATCATCATCATAAGGTCATCAGTCCTAAGACTGGTTGGACAGGTACCTCCACTCTTTCCTATCCTGAGCTAAACTTCGCATTTCCCTAAAACTAGAACAGTCCACATCCTTAACTATTTGCGAATAGTAATCTAATCTAGGTCTACTTCTACCCCTCCTAACTCCTATTTCTGCCTCTAATATGTCTCTGACTAGACCTTCATGCGTAAGAAGGTGTCCTACCAACCTATCTCGCCTATTTTTTATTGATTTCCATAGAGTCCTCTGTTCTCCTGTGCTTTCCAATACCTCTTCATTTCTAACCTTTTCTACCCACGATATCCTCATCATCCGCCTATAACACCACATTTCGAACGCTTCTAACCTTTTCTTTTCCGCCGCTCCTACTGTCCATGTTTCGCACCCGTACAATGTCGTGCTCCAAACATACACCTTTAAACCAGATGCACTTAAGAAATTACAGAATTAGAGAAATAATAAAAGTCGAATGAAACATCCTAGAAACAATAGAACGGAAACAACTGTCATGGTACGGTCACTTACAAGGAATGAACAAAGTCAGGTGGCCAATAAATAAATTCTAGTAATTCCTTCGGGAAGAAGAAAATGTGACAGACCCCCAAGAAGATGGAGACATGATTTTTGATGAAGTCGTGAGACCTAGGGGGCTAGAGGATGCCGATAGGTAAGATCGTCAGTGCTGGGAATTGAAAAGCGAGAAACAGCGAAGGCTGTGATACAGAATCAAAACGTTTTGGGTAAAATATTGAAATTATCTGTTTAGCTAAGTAGGTATTATGATCAACTACGACTCAGAACGCGTCATGGGTTTTCTTCTTTGTAATTTGTAATGTGTACATATTAAATCCTTTTTTTTTTTTTATTCTGTTTCAAACTACTGAAAATTTGCGTTATTTCAAATAACGCACCGTCTTCTTAAATTGTTTATCTTATTTTGCATTACAGAACCACACAAGTAGGTATCTGAAATATTTGTCATCAGAAGAATTAGCATACTGAATATGATGATGGATTACATGTATGATGCAGTAATTTTTATTAAATTAAATAAAGAAAATATGTCTTTGAAACTACACTGATGAATTCCTCAGTTCTTATTCTGGGTATAACAATTATTCCCTTTGATAGATTTTACAGACAGTAGCATTAAGTATGAAATTTCAAATTGTTAAACGTTAAAATTAACTTTTTTCCAAATTAAATTAAATAATGAGGTAGTCACCTTGAAATTGTTAATTTGTTAAATCATTAGTTATACATTAATGTGAGTAAATAAATTTTATTGTTTTTTTTTAAAGTATTTTTTTTATATAATGGGTTAGCATCTGTAATCTTCCACAAATCTTAACAAACCGTTGTTTTTGTGTATAAAACGAATACGTGAAATATACATTTTTTATTTTTTGCGTTTAGTCTAAAACAGTTTTTACACTTGGCAACGCTGAGTAAGGGCTGCTGTATCAGCCGATCGAGCGACAGGTATCGTATGATTTGCTGTTTGCGCAATTGGTCGCTGCGTGAAACCGAGACGGTAATCTCCCGAGTTCATTATTGCCGTTTGCCTGCCGATATACGATTAAAATGTTGCAAGGTCGTGAAGGACGTTTGGTTTATTCAAATGCGATAACTTTTGCTTGATGACTTTTATTCGTTCCCTAACTGTTTGAAAGGAGAACGTGAATGTTAGATCGTAAACTTCCAGCGTTTACTTGCCTTGCTAGAGGTCAGTTTAAAAAGTGACCAATATTTTATCGCGCCAGTTAGCGATTTAAGAACGACTTGTACGCACGGTTCAGTTTTGGTGTCGTGCGTTAACCGGAACGGTAGTGTATTGTTTGCTGTTGTGAGCGTTGCCAATTCTCCAATTTGTAATCGCCTTTAAAGGATTTTTTATTGGGATTTTCACGAACGTATGTATGTATTTGAAGTTTTTTAATTCTAGTACATACGTTTTCTACAAAGAAAATCATGATTTTGTTAGTATTATGATGCATTATTTTTAATTGGCTATTGATACCTACTTACGTATATTTTTTTATATTTGTATTCAAAAAATTGGTACCTGTACCCCATATTTTATTTTTTTTGTAAGGTAGAATAAAACCGGTTGCGTGTGTACCGTACCTATTGTGTAAATTCTACAATTCGTTATTTTCGTTGAAACAACTTTTTAGTGTTGACTTTTTATTGATTACGATTATAATTAAATTGGGTAATTATTTATATGTTAAACCTTGAAATTCGTACTTTGCCCCTATACAGAGTATTGGTATAATATTGACTAAAATATCGAAATTTAATTACCATAAGCAGGTATACGTATATCTAGTACCTATCTATCGACTTGCACAATACAATAGGTCTATTAGAAAGTTAGATGTACACAGGTATGTTTATAATTAAAAAAGGGAAAGCGGATGTAGATATAAATGATGTAGGTATTTGATTTCTCCAAACTTAATTGTTTTTTGAATGAACGTGCTCTGTTTGAATTTATCAGCAAGGTACAGTTATACTTGCATTTGGTATAGTTTTAATTAATTTATGTAGAGGTATGTAGGTATCTACGTCGTATACGTATCTACTATCTGAAGGGGCCGTTTATGAAATACGTTCGCAAATAAGAAGGAGGGAAGGTGGAGATATGACAAGGGTGGTCTAAGGAAATGTGACGATCACAGTTAATCAATTTTGTTTAATTTCTTTTTTGTTAGCTTGGCAGTTCTTAAGGATGTTTGGGAGGTACAATCAGAGACAAGAGTAGGTAGATAAAATTAGAAATTCGTGATTAATTAGGTTTTGCAGCATATCATGAGGTAAATAAATACTATCTATACTAAAAAAAAGTATACGGTTTGAGAGAAAATTTGGAATTTGACCAAAAACTTTGAATAAAATAAGAAATAACGAATAATATGGAAAATTTTTAACTGACTTTTGGCAGTGAATATGCCTTGATTTCAACTTCGAAACAAAAAAATATTTAGTTTCAATCTCTA